TGAACTCCGATTAACCCAAACCTGAATGCCATTCAAGTACTCTATGGTTTAGTTAGTGATAAGATTACAATCATTTCGTGTCCATTCAATTATATAATTATTTATTTATAATTAAATACAGTTTTTCATGTTTTATAATCGATTAGATAGTGACCTCAAATATATATAAATAAAGTTATAAATATTTTAATGCTTATCACATTAAACTAATTTTATATTTAAAGCAAACATCGGTGATGTGAACGAAGTGGTCAGTCGTATAACACTGTCCACTGAACGCAAACCCCAATCTGAAGACAATCTATTGATCATCGAAGCGATTCCGGAATTACTGGAACCAAAGCAGAGAATATTCAAAGAATTGTGGTTTGTTTGCAGACTATCTAATAGTAGATGAAATGGACATAATGTTTAAATGAGTATAAAATACCCGGTTAACATTTTAGTGAGAGCTTTAAGGACAACAAATCGGTTATATTCGTGACCAACACTTCTTCGCTTCCATGCTATGAAATCGGCAAATATGTCGATTGCAAAGACAGATTTGGCGGTAATTTGATTACAAATTGATTTCATGTTTATATTAAACTAATTCATATTTGTGTGACTGTCGTCGCAATTAGGACTTCACTTCTTCAATCCGGTGCCACTCATGAAACTCGTGGAAATCGTCAAAGTCCAGGGAACTAATGAGCAAACCTTTGAACTGTTGCAACAATTTGTCAAAGACGCGGATAAAGTGGGTGTCGCCTGTAAGGTATGGCAGAAATTCATTTGCAATTTACCGTAAACTAAAATATAGAAAATAATATGACAATTGATTTGAAACATAGGATACGCCGGGATTTATTGTCAACCGATTGTTAGTGCCATACATGCAGGAAGCCGTCAGACTCTTGTAATGATTTTCTTAATCATTTGTTTATCGATTTTATTTATTCCGTAAATTGGTTTGCATTTGTAGGGAGAGAGGAGACGCCACGGCCCGGGACATCGACACTGCCATGAAATTGGGCGCCGGATATCCTATGGGTAAACACATTGAATGCTTTACTCAAAACTTTATTAATTTAACTTTTATTTTCACGATTCTTAGGTCCTTTTGAACTGATGGGTAAGTCTCTTATAAAT